TGATGAGGAGGATGACAATGGTAGGTAATCATAACTGCAATGCACTGAGTGTCTCAGAGGTGCTGATGACCCTGAATTCTGATTAATTTCTATGGAATTTGGGTTCTCAAAACCTCATGGAATGGCTCAACATTTTGAATCATCAGATCCCAAGGGCTGTATGGAAAATGAAGGCTTTTTTTTAAAGTAAAGCCTAATATTATAAGTGTTTGAACTCTTTTTGCTGGAAATGCCATATTAAATTGCAAACTAAGGGATCTAATTACATGGCAGTCTTCCATCACCCTATCTTTGGGAGACAAACATGTTAAGCATTATTATAAGGAATTGTTAGAATGCAAGTAATTATAACAATGCATAAATGTAGCTGAAGAGCAGTGGCCTTCTCTCAGAAATAGAGCTGAGAGTATTTTAATATGATTACTGGAATTTGCCGAGGAAAAGACTAAAAGGTGTGAAGGCCAGAGAAGTCCATCAAAAGGTTCTAGTAAAAAAAGGGACAATAACCTGATCAAGAGGGTTCTTTCCCTGGGAGAAAAATTAGGGTTAGTGAGCCAGAGGAAGGAAATGTAAACATGTAGCTAATAAACCGTATGTAGCATGCTGAAACAGTTCAGGGAATGAAAGGGAAGATGTTTATCTTCTTCTCAAGGGGCTAGAAGAAAACCAAGAGCATGCTGATAGCATAAGGTTTATTTCTAATGTGGTTAGCACCTCAGAAAGCCTACCACAAATATAAAGAAAAATCATAGCTGTTTCCCTCCCTGATCTGCACAAATTGGCAATAAAAGACAGAGGAAAATGACTCTGAAGGAACATTTCTCTCGTGGGTTTCTTGCTTTCTTGCTTGGCTAGACCTCATTTAAGCTCCAAGGTTCTGCCTCTTGTACTGTAGTGATCCCATATATCACAGATGCATTCTCCTCAGTCAGCTCTGGGCCACAACTTTTTGTTTCTGTGGTCTTTTATTTAGCACCTACATCCTACTTGCTGGACCAATCCACTCAGTTATGTCACTCAAAGTGGCTCCCACAAGACGGCTGTAGCAGAAGCAATGCCAATGGAAGATCCACATGGAAGGACTCAAGGACCCTCAAGGGAGACTTCCTTCCACCAGTGCCTCAATGAAAAACTGGCAAATTCTAATCAATAACCAAGTTGAAACAATGTTGGCAGTGATTGCAGTGCCTTCAAGTCCAGCGTCATAAGCACCTGTAAAGAGACACTTGGATTCTCTACCAAGAAACATCAGGACTGGTTTGATAAGAATGACTGGGACATCCAAAAGCTGATCAACTGCAAGCACAAGACCTTTTGTGCCTCGCAGAATGACATCAACTCCATTCAAAAGAAACTGAGTCTCTAGCAAGCCAAGGCAGAGGTCCAGAGGAGGACCTATGATATGAAGGGGAGAAGATAAAGTGAAGAAGATGAACCATCTCACTGACATCCATGATATGCATGGGTTTTTCAATGCGACCAAAGCAATCTATTATGATCAGGCCCTTTGAGACATAAGGATAAAGAAGACCTGATCAAGGGAAGGGGAACCATTAATGCTCCTTGGATGGAGTACTTTGAAGACGTTCTCAAACAAGACTCTGTTGCTGATGAGAGTGTTCTCAATTCCATCCAGCAACACCCAGTCAGAGACAATCTCAGGATCCCTCTAACCCTTGATGAGGTGAAGAAAGCCATCAAGCAGATGACAAATGACGTGACCCCTGGAGCAGATGGAATCCCTGCTAAAATCTTCAAGCAGTGGGGAAGGGAGATCACATCACAACTCCATGCCCCCATCTTAAGGATTTGGAATGATAAGGAAATCCCAGATGACCTCAGGGATGCCATGATAGTGACAATCTTCAAGAAAGGAGACAAATCCGACTGTGAAAATTACAGAAGGATCGCCTTGCTGTCCACCACAGGAAAGTTCATTGTGAGCACTACCAGGAGTGACTAGAAATAACGGTCACAAGGTGGCATAGGGTAGATTCAGACTAGACATCAGGAGGCGCTACTTCACTGTCAGGGTGGCTAGGATCTGGAACCAACTTCCAAGAGAAGTGGTGCTGGCTCCTAACCTGGGGGTCTTTAAGAGGAGACTAGATGTACACCTTGCTGGGGTCGTTTGACCCCAGTACTTTTTTCTGTCATGGCAGGGGGTCGGACTTGATGATCTGCTCAGGTCCCTTCCGACCCTACTAACTATGAAACTATGAAACTATGAGAACCCTCCTGAACCATCTTGCCAAAGAACTTCTCCCCAAACATCAGTGTGGGTTTAGGGCATCAAGAAGTACAACTGATGTGATCTTCACTGCTTGTCAGCTGCAGGAACATGCTGGGAACACCACAGATATAAACCTCTCTACACAGCCTTTAGTCTCACAAAAGCCTTCAACTCTGTCAACCAGGAAGTGCTGTGGAGGATCCTTCTGAAGCATGGATGCCCACCAAAATTCATCACCATTATCTGCATGCTTCATGATGGTATGTGAATAATGGTTCTAAGTAATAGATCTATTACGGATCCCTTTAAGGTTAAGATAGGAGTTAAGCAAAGCTGCATCATGGCTCCAACACTTTTTTCAATATTCCTTACTGTGATGCTGCATCTGACCACCAACAAGCTTCCAGCTGGAGTGGAGCTAAACTATCAAATGGATGGTAAGCTGTTTCATCTCAGTCAACTCTGAGCCAAGACCCTAACCTCAATCATTGAGCTCTAGTACGCTGATGATGCTGTAGTGCATGCTGTCTCACAACCAGACCTTCAGGCAATCATTGACATCTTTATTGAGGCATACAAGAAAATGGGACTGATGCTTAATATTGAGAAGACTAACATCCTCCATTAACAAGCTCTTAATGAGTAGTTCCCAGATCCAGTAAATCAGATTCATAGTGAGACTGGAGAACATTGACTATTTCCCACGCCTCAGAAACCATCTCTCACAAAAGGCTTCCATCAACTAAGAGATCCAACACTGCCTCAAATGTGCAAGTGCAGCCTTCAGACGCCTGAGGAAACAGGTGTTTGGAGATGGTGATATGATATCCCAAACAAAGTTCATGTGTATCAAGCAGTTGTGATCCCCACTTTACTGTATGGATCTGAGATGTGGACAAAGTATGTGAAATACCTCAAGTCATTGGAGAAGTATCAAAGTTACCTGCAGAAAATTCTTCTAATCTAGTGGGAAAATAGATACACCAACATTAGCATCCTCTCACAAGAAAACACCATGAGCATCGAGGAGATGATCATCCAACATCAACTCGCTGGGCCTGTCAGGTCATCCAGATGTCTGACTCTAGACTCCCAAAGCAAGTCTTATTCTCCCAGCTAAGTCAAGGAGTACGCTCAAGAGGAGAGCAGAGTAAGCGCTATAAGGATGTCCTCAAGGCCAACTTGAAAAATATGCAACATCAATATCAATTTGTGGGAGACTATGACCCAGAATTGCCCCAAATGGAGGAAGTGTCTTCTGCAAGGACCTCGGTACTTTGAAACCTTATAATGACAACAGGAGATGGAAAAGCAGGAGCGGCAGAAACAGTGTATCATAGACTGAAACAAGAATCTGAGGCCACCCACCCTGCACAGAAATGTGTGCCCAAAACACATGTCCTAGTTGAATCATGTGTTTGTGTCTATTGATCCTGGATCAGCCTTGTCAGCCATCTTTGGATCCAAGGATAAGACAATCATGGAAGACAATTATTCTTGACTGTGAGGAATTGCTAAAAAGAAGACTTCCTACTTGTTCATTTACCAAACAATACCTTGCATCTATGTACAATGTCTTTCATCGTATCAGTGTACAGATATGTTGGAGGAAACTACCTATAAAGAAACTGAGGTTACAGAGACCTGTCTTTTAGTGAGTTGTCCAAAATTACCCAGTGAACCAGTGGCAGAGCTGGAAACCACAATCCAGCAATAGTGACTCCTACTTCCCTGTTCCAAGGGCAAAACAACACACCTGCTTTGCTCTTTTTGATGGTATCCACATGACTACTGCGCTTGCCTGTCCATTTTCATGCCACCACTGTGATGACGTCTCTGTTTTTTTACCAGCTGCACTTGCTTTCCCTTTCCCTATCTGTAAAAGCCCTTTTATGGAAGGCAATTTTGTGGTTGAAATCTCATGTTGAAATGTATTCCTCTTTTTCAGCATGCATTCAAGATGAGTTTTTTGGTGGCTCCATTTTTAACCCACATGCTGACGCATCTGACGCTGCTTTGCTTTTTAAATGAGTGGCACTGAACCATGTAAAGTTTGAATTAATTTTTTGATAAATTGTGAAAAAATCTATGAATAAAAAGGATAATAATTGGATATGAAAGCGGTAATAGCTGTCATAGAAAAGAACGTATCAAATCCATGTGCTGCATTTCATCCTGTCACAGGCACTTATGAAAGATGTAATAGAAATTGTTTCAAAGAATTCGCAAAAATACAAGGCAGCTTGGATAAGCTGTATTTTAGCAAATGTGTTTGCGCTAAGGGTACCTTCTGTTGAACAGTTCTGCCCACAAGCTGTCTGTAGAATATAGAACATCTCTCGAGCATGCTTGCCACCTTGAAGCAGGGCAGTCGGAAGCAGAAAAAAAAGAACAGAATGCAGAAAAAAAGGTGAAGAAAAGAGAGAAATGAGGGACAGCAAGTCTAAGTACCATAAATACATTAAGAAATGAGATTAGCAAAGTATGACAATAGAATTTAAATGACAGACAACATTAAGATTGCAGTAAATAACATACTATGAAAAAAAAAAACCATTCAGCCATACAGCGCTTTCTTTTCAGCTTAGCTAGAGTCATAACAAAAGCATGGGTATTGTTATAAGTATTATTATATTAAAATAGGCATTTTCATTTCAGCATTACAAAGATGTTCTTAATTTGGGTGATAATTCATTGTTAGTTCTCTTGGGGTCAAAACCACACTTCTTCCCTTGCCTTTTGTTCATGGCACTGCCTACAAACTTACCAACTATATCAAACCACAAAGGGATGTTAGAAGGTTGCACAGAAACCACTCCCACAATTTCAGTTACTTTATCGCTTTCCATGACAGTGAAGTTGTAGAAGGGCTCATCAAAGGTCAGTGGTACAGGAGAGGGGGCCGGTTTCTTAATCCATTCAATATGCAGGCGTGCAGTTGCTGACTTTTGGGGTCGTCCATTGTCCACTGCTTTTATCTGTTATGCATAGAGAAAATATATGTGGCATTAAGCATATTGCTCTGTCAGTGAGTCTCATGAATACTTCTGCTAGCTGAGCTGAGCTGGTTGGATAATGGTCTTTTTTTTCTATGGAAACTTTCCACAAAATCCTTTCATCAACATCTTTTATGATATTTTGACTTTTCAGGTGTCAGATCAAGAAAAAAAAATTCTGATTAAAAATTGTTCCTTGGTGTCTCATGGGGAGTCGTAATTCAGGTGCTGCCAACTCCTCTATGGACTAGCTCCCTTGTCAGGCATTTTCCAGGATGCAATGCAGTCTCTTCTCATTGCAACAGGTAACTGTTGCATGATGGAAGTCATGAACTGCGACATCAAGGGAGATGTTATTTGTCTGCAGACTCCTGCAGATCTCCTCCTCTGGAGGAGAATGGGGGCGTACTATAACAAACCAAACTATAACATATTGAGGCACTATGGCAGCATATCTGAATTGAAATATTTCCCTGAATGCAGCAGAAATGAAACAAGAGACTACCTCCTACACAGTTCCAAGACCCATTCTAGTCAGCTCTTAGCTCCACAACTCTCTTCATTTTTTTTGAGGGCCATGCTTCCCAATAATTCTCTGACGGTGTCCTTATATCATCTACTCCACTTAGTGGAAGTTTCTCCAGCTGCTCGTTCTGTCTTTCCTTCACTTCCTTTTCTTTCACTAGCACACAAGCCTTCACAAAACAGTAAGTATGGAATCTCCTCTACCCACATATGCTTTGTATATATTTTTGTTTTGAGTTACGATATGGCCCTGTGTTGGGGTGTGGATCATTGTTGTTTCACCTATTTTGTCCAATAAAGACATAGAAAACATTGAAACCAAAGAAGAAAATAATAATCATTTTGAGAAATGAGGGGAAATAATCCAAAAGACAGTTACTGGAATGACTCTCTGTTCTACTTCTCTCTTCTCAACAATGTTTGCACAATTTCCCTCAATTAAGTGTTAATACTCATGGGAGTTAATATTGGCTAATACTATTAATACTGGCTGAGAATCTGGACACTACATTTCTGATGTGTACAATGCTGCGTATGATTCTTGCCCAAAATGGTTTAGAAACTAACAGCAGGATGAATACCAACGAAGAGCTGAGGAAAGAAAGGGTGGCACGTGGGTTTCCAAAGTAAGTTCATATGGGGGCTTTGGTTAATGATGCTAATATTGTCAAAGTTCAATGAGTTGTCTTCCATAAACTGTAGAAGATGTTTATACATATATATATGATGTTCATGTCAGTAAATACCATTATTGTGATTGTAAAAGGCTGGCTCTATTTCCTTGGAATACCTTTTACTGTTTTCTTGCTGGAAAATAGGTTATCCTCCACTTATAGGGGATGCCATAGGTTAAAGTATTATGCATAAAAGTGCTAAATGAAATTTGATGGCTGACGTAGGGGGCTGTCAGAGCGTCTGACTTTATTCAACTAAGCCCAAATGGAAGTTGCTGGGTTATCTGAATCTAAAAACAAAACTGAGGAAGCTTGATACCATTCTTGGACTTAAGAGAGGTGGGCCTTTGGAAGAAGTAGTCTATAGTGTGGGCTGAGCAGTTCAGAAGTCAGAACTGACAGAAGCACATAAAATTGAGCTTAGCTTTATGTTATAACACTTTACTGTCAATAAAGCTGAATCTAAGGAAATGAGATCTAGGTCTACTCAGTTAGAGACATGAAATGCCTCTGCTTACAGTACTGCTTACCCTGACTCCTGCATCACTCATAGAATCATAGAAAATTAGGGTGGGAAGGGACCTCAGGACTTCATCTAGTCCTGCTCAAAGTAGGCCTAGTCCCAGCTATATCATCCCAGCCAAGGCTTTGTCTAGCCAAGTCTCCAAGGATGAAGATTCCACAATCTCTCTGCGTAACCTGTTTCAATGCTTTCTACCCTCCTCGTGAGGAAGTTTTTCCTAATATCTAACCTAACCTTCTCTTGCTGAAACTTGACACCATTGCTCCCTGTTCTGTCGTCTGCCACCAGTAAGAACAGTCCAGCTCCATCCTCTTTGGAACCGCCCTTGAGGTAGTTCAAGGCCGCTATTAAATCTCCTCTCGGTTTTCTTTTGTCCAGACTAAATAAGCCCAGTTCCCTCAGGCTCTCCTAACCATTTCTGTTGCCCTCTGCTGGATTCTCTCCAATTTGTCCACATCCTTTCATGAAGATGTTAAACAAGGAGGCATAAAACATTGATCCTTGTGTCACTAGACACTTGTACCAACACTTCAGTGTTCATCCCTCTCCTTTGTTTAGAGATCTGCCATCAATAGTTTTCAACCACCTTAGAGTACTCCAGAACATACCACTCATTTCAATTCTTGACCTACTGTATTATAAAAAGTGACTTACATCTATGTAAATTATTCATCTTCCATTACAAGAATAAACTCTATAAGAATAAGGACCTATGCCAGAAGCTCTTCCATACAAGGGGAGACTGTATCCTTTTAGCTATACCAGTATAGTTAAACCAATACAACATTTGTGTGTAGACAAATTCTCATTTTTATCACGTGCATTATAAAGACATAACTAACGCTTTGAAGACTAACTCTTGGAACAGCCTTAAGAATAATTCACTAAGGACATTTATACATACATTTTCATGCTTCAACACGCTGGTGATCCAGCATGTTGGAGCAGACTCAATTAACTGAGTCTGCTCCATATGTGAGCTGATGCGCACTGCGCTGCATCATGTGCAGTTGTATATGTCGCAAAACATGCATGTGTGCAGAAAATGGCAGCAGCGCACTTTTGAACTAAAACACCTTTGATGTGTTTTAGTTCAAAAGCACACCACTGCCATTTTCTCGGCGCTGATGCGCATTTCACCACTTACGCAACTGCATGTACTGCAGCGCCTGGTGCTGCAGCACAAGCATATTTACCAATGCCCTAAGTGCTATAGCATGAAAGTGTTTCAAGTTGCAAACTCATTTGCTTGCTAGTTATGCATGAAGAGTTCTTAATACATTCAGTTCTTATATATGACTCATAAGCTAGGCAAAACTGTGTAATATTACTTGTACTAGTTTAAAATAAGAAATCTATTCTTGAAATGTTGTGAGCTCCGGATGGTGAAAGAATTCTTACTGTTAAGATGTCGTAACTCCCTGCTGTGAACTGCTTTCTGGAGGAAACAGTTCCAGTTTTAGGATCAATAAAAAATTTCCCATCATCATTTCCATCCATGATGCTGTAGGAGATTTCTGCATTTGGGCCTTCATCCTTGTCAAATGCAAATGCTCTGTAGATAGGTTCCCCTCTTTTCTTACGGTCCCTCTCTGGCAACTTGATTTGATAGACTTTCTCTGGAAACTGTGGCTTGTTATCATTTTCATCCAGAACTTGAACGACCACCCAGACAGTAGATTGCTTGGGGGAGATGCCGCCATCTGTGACGGTAACCTGGATAATGATAAGACAAAGATAACTATTATTCGGTATAAATCTAAAGGAATGTTGTAAGTGGGTGGAATGATTTGGAAGACAGGGGGAAGGAAAGACCACTTCACTGGCAGTCTGCAAATTTTTCACTTTAATAAATAATCTTTACAATAAGGAATCAAAGAAATGCAACCAAGTGAATAAAAATAGTCAGGGGAGGGGAAAAAAAGTCCAGCTGGGGGTTCAAACTTAGGGCTTTGACCCTAAGTAGGTACAGAAGGTATGGGCCTATTGCCCAAACCACAATCCCCTGATATTCTCTAAAGCAGCCCTTGGTCAGTTATGCCAACTGGAAAGGAAGCTGAATTGGAATTGACCCCATGCTCACAAGGGGATTATGAAGGGCTCCAGCATGATTGCAAACATTTTTCAGAAGTTTTCTAAGCGGTACACAGAAGATGAGAGGTGAGTTTTTTATAGCATTTATGACAAATTTAATACGTTTCTTCTTGAATTCTGAAAGGACTGCTGTCATTTTTTCATTCATAACCTACACTTTGACAGCTCATTAATCCTAAACCTGCTTTTTATGGCTGTAATGGGCACAGAGATGCATATATCACTATAACAAAACCAGAAACATACTTAGTAAAAAATTCTGCTGCACTGGATGCACTGTATAGCAAACTGACAGGAATAAGAAGTATAGTCTGAGGGGGAAATGTTAATTAGTAATTTAGCAAAGACTTAAAACAGAATTACTAATAATTTTAGTATGAAATATTTTGAAAATAAAATGATCCAAGATCAACAAGAATTCAAGAGATTCAAGAATACTCCTTTAAAAAATATTCAATCAATGTTTTCCAAGATCCCACTCTCCCTGCTCCCACTCCCAGCCCTGTCTTCAACTGCGATTTTAAAAAGGAGAGAAACAAGGCAGAAAGCTACTCCTGTTTGCATGAAAGAAGTTTGGATTTCACTTTCAACTAAATCTGCTAATATGCCAATTCCCACAGCAGCAATTTTTGATGATGGTAAGCCAAGATATTACACACATTTATCTGGCTGTGCTGACCATTGCATGTGGATTCCTTTGCTGGTTAACTGTTCTCTGCTTTTTTTTGTTTTTCCTTCTTAAATCCCTCTCCTCCTACAACTAAACATATCATCCCACCTCCCAAATCCAGAGACAAGGCAAAATTCTTCTACAAATCCTATCCCCTGCCTTTGTTCATGTCTTTCAATCAGGAACCTAGACTTAGAGCCACCCTAATGTGGCCACCTTAATAGCGCCACCCTAACAGAGTGGCCACCCTAACACAGCCACTGACACCAGAGGAAGGACCACAGCATCATCTAGGAGAAAGGCAAGTGATTTCTTCCTTCCTTGTTTGTAACCACCTTTAAAAACAGAAACTGTAAAAAATGCTGGACTGACTGTCTTGGAGGCTCAAACCCTCCACTTACAGACAAAAACTGGCATGGCAGCACATAGCAGCAACATAAGATTCCCTAGATCATCCCGTCACTCATTTGGAGAGAAAGAGTGACAGCGTATCATCAACCTCGGGCCTCTCTTGTTGAAGACTGTCAACATGGCTGCCAATTATTACCCACTGGGATCGGGGTCTCATGATGTGGGCACACGTCTGCTGGGAACTGGACTGAGACCATCAGTGTATTTCTCACAAGACTCCGAACTTCCATCTGTCAGTCACAAACAACCGGAGATGCTGGCAAGCAACAGGTGGAAAACCCACAGCTCATTACCAATGTCCTCAGCCATCCAGTTCCCCATCACTGCTCTTTTCAAAACAGAACTTACATTTTTAAAAGGCTTTGAGAACAGTTGCTGATTTGCCTCTCTCACCTTGTGAAATGAGCACCTCTGGAAATAGCAGCGTCTTAATACATTTGGGAGCGCTTGATAAATTGTAAGCAACAACAACGCAATAAAAACGCTCTTGGTCTATCTCTAATATAAAATAAAATAAATAAGATTTTTCCAAAGTTAAGGATGATCCCATCTATTTCTCTTCTGTTGCAACAGAGCTTGGCGGGTAGTTTATGAGCACACAAGGTAACAAAGAAATCCGATTCCAGTATTTCTGCTGATATGACAGATAAATTAATCAATATTGTTGGCAGTACAGCGAGGATATAGCACACCAAAAAGAAGAGGATGTGTTCATTTCAATGTAAATCAAAATGCAATGAAATGCTGTTTATATTTTCTACTGTGCTCTTATTATGGAGAAGATAACAGAGCAAGAAGTAAAATACTAATGTTTGCTGAATAGAATATGACATGCTTACTATGGGAAAACATTTTCTTTCAAGCTACCAGCAGAATATTGCAAAGGAAGGAGCACACACATACAGAGACACTGCTAAGAACTACTCCAGGGCAGGAGTCAGGAAATTTTTCCGCCGGTGGTGTAGAGCACAGGGATAGTTCTTCCCCCACTAAAGCCCACGCACCCAGCTGCGGACACAGCCCCGCTGCTGCCAAAGCCATGGCTCTCTGGGCCAGATTCAGTATAAAAACATAGGAAGGGCTGATAGCCTAGGTGATTAAGGTTACCCAATACTTCCTATTACGAAATCCTAACCTTGCCAAACTTCAGATGCTTAAGATGAATTTTCCACGATGAGTACCTTTCCAAAGTTCAAATTACATGGAAAATTTTCGTCCAAATTTTTCAATGCTTTGCACAAAAAAAGGAAAAAAAAGATCAAATTAGAAACAGTGCACCAGAGTAATAAAAATGATTAGTGGCCTAATGAGGAAATGCTGAAAGAACCAGGATTAGTTTGGAGGAGAGAAGGCTAAGGAAGGGATTTGATTCCAGTTGTCAAATACCTGAAGGGTGGTTATACGGAGCATAAATACATTTAAAAGGGGCTTTTTATTATTATTTCATAACCAACTCTATTCTGCCAATGGAAGCCAACAGAACAATACTGGTTCAAAAGCATGCTCAAAAATCTAACCTTTAATATATAGTACACACCACCTCCCACATATACACAGATAAGAAAATCATGGACTGTTATCCTGATCTATTACTTATTCATAGTAGATAAAAATATATTAGTTTATTTTGTAAAACCAGTTTGCTTAAACATCCATTTGATGACAGATGTATTAAAAAATGAAAATATTTGTTAACAGAAATTTAAAATTATAATTGTTATAACTCAAGTTAATTAGGTAAAAAAACAACATTAAAAGTAGCCAATAACCAACAGTTTTTTTGAAATCCTGAAGTCAGGAAATTCTGCTCTGCTAAAACTTGATACCCCCAGGAGGAGAAAACTTTACATAATATTTAAGCTTTCTCTTGGTGACATTCAAAGCTTTTCAAATTGACAGGCTCCAGCTTCACATGAAAAGCTTTGTGTGCCAGAGGAAGCTGAAGAGTTAGTTAAGGCTTTATCTCACAGGCATGGAATTAAAAAAATATATATCTGCACACCAGAGAACTGATTATTCTACTGGTTCAGCAATTCCATTCCCTGCTTAGCTAAAAAGCTACACACCATCAGCCTGTCTCTAGCCATGGATTTTTAGATTTCACATTTAAACAGGTTAAAGCAGATATGGGGGGAAAAAACAACAAAAACACCTAAAGAAATTCCCCCACACATACAAGAAAGGAAGGAAGAAAAGAAGACCACAAGAAAAAACAAAACAAAAAAACCCATCTGCTACTATATAATTGCTCAAGCAAAGTCAGCATGGTAAATACTAAGAAGTGAGATAAAACAACGGTCACATTCAAGAAAACACAAGGTTCTAAATGCTAGCCTATTTCCACCACCACATCAACTACTGAGAGCACGTCGATGCTGTGTCTTAACCCAGGACCACAGCTAAGAGTGAGCTCTGGGTGTGCCAAATCTGAACAAAAGCAGGGCAGATGACTCAGAGTAGGTGAGGTTCTTTGTGGCCATTTGTACACGTGGGGCATACACATACTTTTTAATTCTCAGACGTGCAGGAGATCCGCCACCGCGGAGCAGATTTGTTTTATCAAGTCTGCTCTGGACAGGACCTGATACGCACTGCACTGCACTGCTTGCAGTTGTATAAGTGGCGAAATGCACTGAGAAAATGGTGGTGGTGTGCTTTCAGATGAAAACACATCAAATGTTCAGTGCATTCTCAGCGCCAACACACATTTTGCCGTATATCAGGTGCATCAGCTCATGTGCTGGATCTCCGGCACACTGGAGCAGACAAATGTATGTGTATAACTGCCCTTTGTGCCCTACTCATTATGCTACTTGAAAGAAGTTGGGTAGCTCCACCACTATCATCTTGCTGTATGACTTTTTGAAGTCTAAAAAAATCATGGGCTCAAGTGGAGTGTATGTGCTTCTAAGAAAGGACCTGCATTACAGTAGAGCTTAAATCACAGATGTGTAAGGACTCTGTATGAGTTGTGTGGCTTCTAAACAGAGTGGAATAGGATTACATTTAGTGACTGAGATGCCTGATGGCTGCCTAAGTGTCACTTAGCTGTCAGAGAAGTGGAAGAGTATTAGGGCTTCAGATTTGAAAGCAGGAAGTGTTACAAAAAGTAGGTTTTGAATGTCGAAATCAAATACTTTCAGAAATAATAATGTGTTACAATTTATGAACTTCACTGAGAAATCATGACATTGGCTAAATTGTTACAGTGGTTTTTCATTTATAACAATACCCAGAATTCTGAGCAGCTATACATCAACAAAGTCCAACTGCTCTTCTGAATAAAAGGAGGAAAGACAAGATTACTGTGCATTTCCTTAGAAAGAGCATGTCTGAATAGTTCAGAGACCTTAGCTAAAGAATTACTGCAAAATATGTCACAGAAAAAAATAGAAATTACTGATACCAAAACGCAAGTGCAGTGGTTCAGAGATATAAGAAATGTTTATAAAATCTTGAACCTAGCATTCAGTCAGCAATTAGATATTTTACTTTTTTATCTCTTATTTGGCAACTGTAAAACAGAAATAAGATGGGCTCG